TGTCAGGTTAGGCAGCACGACAGCAACACAGCAAACGATTGTTCATTACGAGCGGTGCACAGGGTGGGACCGTGGGACCCCATGCACCATCAGTTGGAACACACATGATGGCCCTGAGGGGAGGCGAAGTTGTGGAGCCAAAGTTGCGAAGATCCAAAAAACATCGCATTCCCAAAGGCTGCAGCGTGCTCTAGGCGCTTCAACATGACGTAGGAATAACTTGTTTGTTTGACATTTTTGGCATGAAAGGTCTCGCGACTGAATATGAGAAGACAGCAGCGTGCTGGTAAAGGGTTCATCAGAACCTATGTGGCCCCAAAAATCCGCCGTAGTTAGAGATCCAAAAAGTTAAATGACTTCAACTCTCATAATTCTTGATATGCTGCTGTTGCTAATCGGTGCTCAATTTAATGATAAGTCACAGTGACGTAATTATAGGCTTTCGTGCACAAATTGGCCGTATTTTTAGGGTCGGGCTCCTTTGCCTTGTTATATAGCATTGGGTACTGCCATTCATCTTAGCGTCTACTTATGGCGGCCATCTTTTATAGACGAGCTGGTGACGAAAATGTGCATAGCTGTTTTAGCATGGCTCCAAAGGGAATGGCTCGCCGCGTCTCGTGCCCTATACAGGGTATTATACCTCCAGGTTTCGCAGCACGCTATTGTACCTACTCGCGGTCTTATGCCTCCAGCTATCTGTAGAGTGTGCAATGAAAAAAGCTACGGCACTTCCTTTGAAACCTAACCGGGCTACGGTCGGACCACGCAGAGGCTGCTGCTTATGATGGCAAACGTGATATAAGGCGCGCAACGTGCATGTCTAGATTGCTTTAAAAGCATGTTGTCAGGGCTATCAGCAGCGACAGCCAACCTGCAACAGCAGCAAACTTTTTTAATTCACAAACATGCTCGTGGCACGAGATATTCAGGTGGAATTGGAATGGTACTGTAATTTCTTGCATGATTTCCGAAGGATTCGAAATTTTAAACCCGAAATACAGTCTTAAGATGATCAGCGTCGTCTTGTTAACGAGCTCATTTGCGCCAGTCATGCTCCGGGAAGACTTTTATTGAGTAGGATCTAGAAGAGGTTATTCCACTTAAGCATAACCCAGGACATGTCATCTTCCGCGCACTGCGCACATAACACTTTCATTGGACGGTGTGTGGCCTCACCAGCAACAGCGACATCAAGCGTCAAATTCCCCAGCGCTTTCCTCAACAAACCTTTGGGCACCGCCGTTTCTACCAGGCCGGAATACATCGGAACGTGTTAGAGAGGACGGTCAACAGCACGGGATCGCGGCGTCATCGGTTACATCGGTACGTGTTGTCGGAACGTATTCCTCTACGAGTGTTGTCACATCTTAGACATCTGTATATAACAGACACATTGCTGGGCAAGGACTCCCTGCCAGTGCAGTTCTGCAGCGCTGAGGGCTGCGGACGCGGCTGAGGTGCGTGTCGCCGCCGCCGCCGCCGTCGCCGCCGCTCCTCCGTGACGCGTCTGCGTGACCTCAGCGGCTCGGCACCTGCCCGCTCGGCGGGGTGCACAGGCCCATCGCAGCCAGCACACGCGCCCGCAGCGCCGGCTTTCCTGCGCCTTTTTCCCGGTAGGTCGGACCGGCGCGGGCGCGGGCGGGCCGCCGCACGGTCACACCCCTGGCCGTGCACCTCCGGAGCACCACGCACGCCGACCAGCTGCGCCGGCTCCCCGCCATCGCGCTCCGCCTCGATCGCAGACTCGGGATCGGAGTACGCCGAGGCTGATCGAGCCCCCGACGGCACGGTCAGAGTGACCTGGACGCCTCGCACACGGCCCGGTCCGCTTGCGGGCGCCTCAGACAGTCACCGACCGCCCAGCGGTCTCTCGAGCGCCAGGAAGCGCCAAACGCACCACGGCACAGTGGTCCGCACAGCCTTGCAGGATATTGCTGATCACAGTGATTACTGTGTGTTATGGCAATAATTGCAGCTGCGAAGAATGTTATGAAACCAAATGATATGCTTGTGAAATAACTTAAACGAAATAACAGTAGCACTGCACGTTAATTATACGCCTAGACCGTTAGTGTGCATTAGCTGTTGAACGATGAGTGGACTGTTCCATGACTTATGTGAGGAGCTGGGACTTAAGTACTCAAATGCTTGTGAGTGCGCGGAGCAAAGAGCGCTCGTATGAAATGGTCAGAACATTACTAATAGCCAGTAAGGTTCGAATGTCAAAATAAATGATTTGCAGATGCTGCGTATCCACGGTGTGTAGCACCGCATTTATGAATCAACGTCTAGGGATCGGCGTTTTGCTCAGGGCAGGTCCGAAGCATTCGACGTTCCTTCCACTTGCATTAGTACGGCTGCGTGCTGTACACTATAAGCGTGAACATGAACTCAGTTGGTCCAATATAACAGTTCGTGCGCCCGCAGAGCGCCACGGAAAGCCCTCCGAGCAGACTGATAGTTTGAAACTCGTTTTGACGAGGGGGGGGGGGGGGCGTTCAGCGTGAGCCTGGCAAGCAGCTCGGTCTGGATGAGTCTGGTAAGCGGCTCGGTCTGGATGATCCTGGTAAGCAGCTCGGTCTGGATGCTTGACACACGCAGCCATAGCTACGGCAGTGGCACAGGCTGATGGCGATCGGACGTTGGAGCGTTTTTCGACAATTTCGGTTTGTTATCAGGTCATCATTTGTGTGTTTTGGTTCTTAATGCGCAATATATACATTGTGGCTCATCGTGCTTCTATCGACTTGCCTGAACGGCCGCTTGCAATCCGTTTAAGCCGCGAAGAGATTTGACATTGCAACTCGATATGGAGTCGCTTGATTTACTCAAAGTACGCATACCACGTCTTGGCCAAAAAAGCATCGACAGCGTTATAGAGCAACAAATGGTAAAATGAACAGAATTGCAAGCACCAGAGAGCTGCAAAACACATATCCACATTTCGTTTTTCAGAGCCATATGCTCTCTCAGTCCTCGCAAAACGCAGCCTTAAAACGCAGCGAGTCATTCCTTCCCTGCACGTCTTCCTTAAAACGCAGCGGATCATCCCTTCCCTGCACGTCTTCCTTAAAACGCAGCGGGTCATCCCTTCCCTGCACGTCTGCCTTAAAACGCAGCGGGTCATCCCTTCCCTGCACGTCTTCCTTAATTGCATATTTCCGTTGCTGTCGCGCGCTTTCAAGCATCTGGCGACCAGGTATGGCCGCATTAAACCAATGAAACCGCGGGCGACCGTGCTCATTAATAAGCGGCTCCATAACTCAGCCGTCCCCCGACGATCCGGCGCCACGTCCCTAATTGGCGGCGCGGCCGGTGTGAAAGTCGACGCCGGCGTTGGCCGTCGGCAGCGGGCCGCGTCGCCACCGACGGGGCCGCGGCGCCGGCGGCGGCGGCGGCTCGGCGCGGCGGGAGGGGCCGCCGGGCCGGCGCCGGCCCCGCCGACCTGTTTCCGCGCCCGCGGTGTCCAGCCCGTCGACCTCGGAGACGAGGTGGTGCTGGATGGGGATGGTGGCGTCGATTATCCAGCCGATGCGTTGTTGGGTTCATGCATGGGCGTGAGTTACGAGAAGACCCGTCAAAACGTTTCGATGCATTTTGAGCTGTATTCTGTGATCGGCAAACTGCTTTCTTATTGATCAAGCGATTGAGAATGGATGTGCAGCGTATGGGCCTAATTCACGTCAGCCGGATTGGATCATTTCACAACATGAATCACTGTGATTCCCATTCTTCAGTCATCCGTTTTCCTTGCAAGTCTAAAACACCAAAGGCCAGAATGGCCGATCATTATTCCGAGATATTGTCGGATATGAATGTGATATTGTCAGAACGTGAATCACTGTGATCTTCATTCTTCAGTCATCCGTTTTCCTTGCAAGTCTAAAACACTAAATGCCAGTATGACCGATCATTATTTCGAGATATTGTTAGATTTATGAATCAGACACCTTCGCTACCGCGGGGTAGCGAAGGTGTGTGACTACCCCGCACCGACATCCCTGCACCCACTGTCCGACACGTTTCACCTCACGCGTGACCCGTAAGTGAGTCATGAGAGTGCACAGCGACGTGCCTGAGACTCGGGGAACCGATCAGGTCGACCCCCTGACCCGACCGGGTGAGGCGCGGTCCCACCAGACGCGTCGCGGTCCTCAGCCGCCTCCGGCGGTGCACGGATGACTCCCACAGTCGCGCACATCGGCGCTGTTTCAACAAACCAGACCAGGATTCTTGAACCGAAGCAGTAGAGCAGCGACCCACGCCCATCATCTTTGCTGGTCTTCTTTGTCGGGATGGAACGTAGAACAGAACGCACACTGATCGGTGTCGGTATAGTACCAGAAGCCACTTGACTCAATTTACCTAAGTGACCCTAAGCGTTGTGTCGTTTTGTACGCTGTGGGCATAGTCTCTGTCACAAACACCACTGACGGATGCAAAGTCCACATTGTGTTGGATTCATTTTCTCTTGAACTGTCTGTCTTTTCTGTTTTCTGTCTGGTTGGTGGTAACTGCTGTTCACTTTTTACTGCAGATTCGAGATGTAAGTCGACTGTTCACTGAGTTCCGACAGCACGTGAGCGTCCCATACGTGAGCAGATGCTGAGCTGTTCCTTCAAGTGAGCACCTGGTTCATGCACTCGTCAAACAAAGAGACGGCAGCCGAAGAGATGTCAAGGCTAGGTATTAAGGTAAAAACGCCTTACAACCTAACACGTTTAAAAAACGCGTTAGGTTGTAAGGTTGATGTCATGTTTGATATCATACATTTCCATCCTTCCACTTGACAGAAAAATGACCCAACCCGAATCACCCAGGGGCTTTGTGGATGAAGCTTCGCGTTTGGCACGCGGTTTCTCACCACCTGAAGACTGCAAATCACGACCAGCAAAAATGCCTCTGAAAATACCACTTCTGTGCATGTAGTTACACAACACTCAAGCCATAATGACGGACGATGAAATGATGATGCATGGTGGCGCAGACACACGGCATGTTTTCAGCTATGTATTAAATCAGCCAGACTTCACGAACAGTCGTGCATGACGGGGACCGCGGCATGCCAGGCGACTCACACAGGCCGGGACTTGCAGACGGCACAGGACGGCACCACATTTCTCGGCATAGAGACATTCTCGGAATGCTCTTACCCGGGCACGCAGTCTTTCTCGCTACCGTCTTCGTACCTGAGAAAAACAAACAACGTACTTGAAGACGGGAGCAGGTGAGAATGTCCAGGATTGTAGGTAGAGGGTCGGGTTGACTCGTTCCTTGCCCTGCACCACATAACCGTAGCGTTCGATTTTACGCAAATGTTGGGGACTCGAGTCCCCAAAGTCCACCTTGAAGTGACACAACGGATGAATCCAAGGAGCTAAGTTCACATTGCGTAGGATCAAGCGGCATTTCCCCTCACTCATTCGTCACCCAGCAAGGATCACCTCACCGGCCTCCAGATGCAAAGCACGAAGGTGATCGACAAAGCAGCCAAAACGGAAAAGAGGAAGCACACGAAAAAGCGGCAGGGAGACCAGAAGCGTGGATGAGAGAGGGCGAGAGGGGTGGGGGTGGAGAGAGCGCGAGAGGGCGAGGGTGGCTTCAGCAAGGGACGCGCCAGGGGACGGACGCCGGGGCGGCGGCTGAGGTCGCCCATAATGACAGCTGCTCTGTAATCATCTCCGAGGCCCAGACTGGCCGGCGTCGGCCGGGGTCAGAGGGGGCCGGCGTCCCTCCCCTCTCGGCCCACCGCACCATTTGGGCCTGCCTGCCGGGCCCGGGCCGCGCCAGAATGGGACGGCTCCAGCCCGAGGGCCCGACCGTACGTCTTCGGCGCCAGCCTGCCGCGGGGTGTGAGCACTAACGGCTGCCCGACCGCCCAAAGTGGCTGTTCAGAAGTGCTCTGTCATTGTGTGCGATGCAGACGAAGACTACCGTGCATCAACCGGACAGCCATGCTGCCGTCGCGATAGTGTTTGCAGTCTATTGCAGTCGATAACCACCTACGCCTCCCGCAACTCCACATAACACAAAGACCAATTGGTGCACATCGACATAAACATGCCGGTGTGCGGATGCATTTGTCTTCGCATTAAAACTGTCACTGCTGTCTGCTCGTGACATGTGCACCGCTCAACAGTGCGGTGGGACATCGGCGCCGAGTGAGTTTGCTGGACGGCCCGGATGGGCGTGATCCATCAGCTGACCTAAGCTGGCCTAAAGCCAGCTGGCCTAAAGCGGCGTGTCCGGAGCGGCCGCAGTCGAGCCCCGTACCCCTTCCCCTGAGCAGCGCTCGGTAGGGCGCCAGGCGTCGGCGAATCGCCAGTCCAGGTCAGCTGCGCGGCGGAGCAGCTGCAGCTGAACTGTACCCGGCCGGTACTCTTCATTACAGGCCTGGTTCAGATGGCACTGTGCACTGCCTTCACGGTCACTGCGTTACTCAGGGTAGGGCCGGGGTGGGGTGTGGGGAGGGGTCAGGTCAGGCGGCTGCATCGCGTTACAAGCACCCATAAAAACAAACGGGTGTATGTAGTCCTGCCGCTCCAAAATCAACGATCCTTACAATCGCCACCGTGTTATATAACCAAGGAATGGAAAAACCGCCACATAAATGTATATTCGGCCGCTGTGCCACTGGACCACGACCGTTCCGCCCCGTGCTGTTATTTATAGCTTCAGATATTTACCTGAGCTTCACGTTTTGTGAGATAACTCATCACCGGGCTGTGACAACAATGGGCGGGGAATTCTTGAGGTAACTCGCATCAGCGGAGGCTTTCAAACCGAACGATTGCCCTGCCAGGCCTGAGCCACAACACTGACGACGCTATGGCCGAGCATGAGGAGCCTGCACGCTTTTTTCAACACACAACAGGCGCCAATGCGGGGGAGGAGGGTTCACTGAATACCGAGTCGTACATTTTTTGTCGAGATGTTCTATCTGATGCTGGCTACAGCAGCGCTATGTTTTGTACATTTGATCCCTGCACCAGCGGAAAACAGTTGCGAAGCAAAACTCCCCAATCTGCTTGCAGATACACATGTTTATAAATGCACCCTCTGCCCGTATGATGCATAAACGCAGCCTCTGTAGCACAGACATTGCGGGAAGAATGCAAACTGTGCTTGGTACTCAACCCATTGTCAGTCTTGGGCGTCGGGACATTTATTCTAGTCAAGCAGAACAAACAAAGTAACGAAATACAAAGGTATTGCCACAGGACGCAGACTATATAGCGTATTCATTTAAGAACAGGATGCTTGTTGAAATGCGAACATTCAGCCAATCCGTGAGTAATGCCCAGAATGCACCATGACTGACGCGAGCGAATCACTTTTTCCGCGCTGTCTTAAAATAGAATTACATTTCATCGGCGTCCTGAAAACTTCGAAAACGCAGGCTCAACAAATGTTCGATATTGTCCCTCCCTTTCAATATCTGGTCTGTATCGGCTGATTTTACGAAATAATTGTTTCAGATTCCAACAGCGTTTCTGGTCGAAAAATACAGGCTCCAACGAAGGCTACCAACTTTTTTATCGTGCCGTTAAGTAGACTGTGTGTCTCTGTACTCAAGCTCTATTGTTCTCCAGCCAGCATTTATAAACATGTGTATCTGCAAGCAGATTGGGAGTTTTGCTTCGCAACTGTTTTCCGCTGGTGCAGGGATCAAATATACAAAACATAGCGCAGCGTTTCTGTTATAAAAAATGTTAACATGCAAGCAACTTAAATGTCATGTAGTATATGGAACATAATTAATGCACAAAGTATAGGTAGCCCATGCGACGACGCTTTACTGTGAACGAGTTAAAATGATTGGTGGCACAATACAATTCATTTTAAATTTCTACACAATGCGTCAAAAGTTACGGTATATCTTGGTTCTTACCAGAAATTAACATCGCCAGCCTGTGTTTATTCAAATGAAAATTGATAGCAAATTTTGAATACATTTTGACAAATAGCGGCGTAGTACGCCACAATAGTACCCCCCCCCCCCCCCCCTCCCACCCATCCGCACACTATAACCTCATCCCTTTGCCCATAGTGAAACGAAATTTTCAGATTACATGAAACGGAAAAGAGAAACGGCAAAAGATAGCAAAACAAAGCGTATGGAATGAATTGGGCGCGTGCACGCTTCTCAACCATTACAATAATGAGAGCAGATCACAAAGCCGTACGGCGTTATAGCGCGGGGCGAGCATCTGCGCGGAGGTCTCTGCTCGCACAGCGCGGCCAGTGGCAGTGCCTGGTGAAATTGCCGCACCGCATCCGAACACAGAGAGTCTCGTGAAGGAGCAGCAGCGGAACACACACCCAGCGGTGCTCGCTGCTGGCGGCGTGACGTTGTGCACAGAAGGACAATGGAGCTCCAAGCTCGACCGGATCCTAAGGTAGACACGCACTGCAGCATGTTTTTCCATAAATGGGGCGGGGTGTGTCAGTGGCTGCGCAACACAGGCCGCATTCGACGACCTACCATGCCTGAGAAGAGCTACGATACGATTGTCACTGTGCAGAGAACCATGCCTTTGTGCTCTCTAGCACAGTCACAAATGAATACAAGGTGTGTCTCAAAACACGGTGAGAACACAAACTTAAAGCTAATGCTGGTTGTTTGCTGGTTTTGTCGTTGGCGACACTAAGTCAATGAAAAATAGCCCGAGAGTGCATTGAATAGGAGTTTTCGTTGGCCTCCATAATCGTTATCTATTCAAAACAACATGCTGAGCGAATGTTGCAGGGGGGTGACTTTGGGATCAGAAGGAACTGGCTGGCCAAGCTCAGCCATGCACTGATACCACTGAAATCCCTTTCCTCTGTCAGCCAATGTTAACTTCATCTCACATAAAACACTCCTATTCTTTCCATAACGCGACTTGCTGACTATGACCACGTTTCTGGTTGTTCATCCCTTGGCGTCTAAACCCTATGTCTATCCACCGCAAGTCTAAATGCCAGTTATATACCTGCATGCTGCATGCTTTAATTGTGCCCCGTAAGCATGCCAGTCCTAGCCCTCGCTATTTGTATTTGTTTTGACTCATCTTTTGTTGAGGAAGCTCATGCTCTCTACATAATACGTCGAATAGACCGACAGGCGTCGAAATGCCTAACCTACTTATGCAGTGTGGAGATAAGCAAATGCTTTGTAGAAGTATTTAAGCGTCAAATGCAGGCATACCCGTAAATCTGCCATCATGAGCACAAGCGCATGTCGCACACTGGTCAAAGCAGGATTATTAAGTGCATGGATCGACTAAGCATGATATCGAGGATATGGCTTGGAGCGGGTTTTACGGCGATACCGCCCTGGGAACCGAAAGGCGCTCCGCTCGAAAACTGCTGAAACGAATCTTCCAAAGTTGACCATGAGAAAACATTACGGTGCAATACAACTACCATCGCTGGAGACGCAGCGATGAGCATTAGAGAGAGGTTTTTGAAATCACATACGCAAGATACACTTTACTGCTTTGCTGCGGCAGGTATATCCATTTGTTAATTCATCCCTTCATACCAAAGGTAAGTACGTAAACACCCCTTGTTTTGATACACTTTTTCTCGAAAAAAAACTTTAAAACCCCCTGCAAAACGAGTGCCTATCGTCGCAAGTAATGATGCACTCCTGCTGCTTTTAACATCAGTAACATCTTTAACATCAGTTTTCTTCGTATTCCGTGGCAATCTTCCAGTAAATTTTCACGTCTATGGATACCTAACTCAACCAAACGAATGTTCTACTCTACAGGCATCTAAATAAACACCAGGTACACATTCGGGGGCAGGTAGATTACGTCATTTGCATTAAATTCAAGACATAGTTTGTTTTCAAAGCGATATTTACTCCGTATGCCAGATAATAAGATTGCCAAATAGCCAGATGTCAAAACCACCAGTCACCTGCCAAAATAGTTTTGAGTCAGCAGTCAGCTGCGGATGTTGCGTGGAGTATGAATATTACGCAGAAGGATAACATACGTGAATCTGTCTTTGTCGTTCGTCTATAGAGCGGGTTTTCGACACGTGCAGTTGGATGTCAGTCATTTTTCGGCGTGGTACCAGCACTGCACGTTATCAGCATTCTTGAAGCCTTCAAAACTGGCGTTCCACCAAAACCTCGCACCTACATCTTAACTCACTCGTATCTGCTGACGTTGGCAACGAACATGTTTCGGACGTAGGTGATAAGAGGTGGAACGAAAAGCACCGCCGATAATGCCACGAGTAGGATCCGCAGGTCCAGGTCCACAGTTACTTCAACCGTCGTGCTGAGAATTTTCATGGCGGAAGAATAAATTTGCATGCTTCTGATGATGTTCTTGATATTTTGCCTGGCTCAGACACAGCGTGCTTTGGTTTACAACTAAGTTAGTAGCATTTCGTAAATGAACGTCCCGTAGTTAGAACGTTAGTCGCATTTCGTAAACGAACTTGATCATCAATGACGTTTCGAACAACTAGCATTTATGTGAATGAGCTCTTGTAAGCATTCAAAAAGAAAACAAACAGTCATGGCAACTAGCAATTTAATGAGAAACGCGCCACAAATGTGTGCATAAGGTTACAAAACCAGGGTTTAAAACAGTCAGGAAATCAAAAAGAAAAGAATAAGCAAGGAACTCTGAAAAATTTCAGGAGTGTATTTTGCGCTAAACATGAATGCTACCTCGCGTTCTGCAAATTGTTAAAGTGAATCGGATCCTTTGACAACGAAAATTTAAGAAAGTCGGCATGTTTGATTCTGCTACAATTATGTAAAGAAACAGAACATGCAATACATATGCGTAGCATGGTGGCAAAGGTATATCCTGTTGGGGCCACAAACCGAGCATAGCCGTGATTCCCGACGTACGAACTGAAGCTGAAAGTCGTTTACCATGAAAGGCGTATTGCCATATTTCCAAAAGCCCCAACCCATCATGTTCGGTAGGTTTCTCAAGGACTATGTATCACAAATTCTCGATGTTTTAGTTGTAGGTCAGCAATCCACGAAACAGCAGCACATGGTAACAGGAGTGTTTTCATAATTGTGCATGAGATATCCGAACAAGTGCGACTATTTGACAACGGAGACGACAAAAAACATGAATCGCTAAATATGCTCGAATTCACAAGCACCTCCCAAGCTGGGAGGACAACCCCTCGGCAGCATTCATCGCCGGTTTACACCACACCACACGCCACCTGAAGCTGCAAGCCCCGACGAAGCGAACGCACCCTCAAGTGGCTCCTGACCTACACGCTCGAAATCCCCGTCACTGTCGGCTTTCTAGCCAACACGTGCACTGCAGCACAGGCGCGCACAGCCCGCCGTCCGCGCTCACCGAACACTCACCACCAACTGATCGCCGTAATCGTGCTAACAATTGACTGCCATTATCCTAACTGCGTTTAATTCGGTAATTGCGGTGCAGGCGATACACGAAACAGTACCACGCGAGGACGACACTTTGGGTGCGCACTGGGCGTGTATGCGTTCAACATGCCACCCTTCCTGTCAGCTCGACTGTTCGTGTCAGATTTGTGTGAATTGATTTTCACACAGCCATTGCAACTCGGTTCGCATGGATCGTTTGGCATCGTAAACAACAAATAGCACACACTTCGCGTTTTATTCATGGAGCAGCTCAACAAGATTTTAACAGACGGTTGGGTGCAAGAAGAGACTTTCATATAACACAGGGGTGCTACAATGGCTTCTATACATAAACTGGATCGTTGATAACGGAGCACGGAGGCCATGACGAGGAAACTTCCGTGGCACCTACGCCATCTGTTGTTAGAATGTGGAACTATCAACTGCGATTCGGCCGGTCGCAAGAAGCGTGAGGAGAAAACAGTGGCGGGCCGCCGCAAAAAAAACGGCCCGATGGTTACTTACGTCCGGGAGCGCATTCTCATAGTGCCCCAAGGGAAACGTGCTATCCCTTGTCAAATCTTTTATGTACATTTACACGAGCCTGGGTGTGTGTAGCGGGGGGGGGGGTGGTTATTTGCTCCCTTTAAGTTTTTTGCATAGTAGTTTCCGAAAACGCGGAGTAGCCTCGCCAAACTTTATAAAGCTGTAGGAATAAGTTGTTCAGTGCATTTTCGAGAAAAATTATTCACATGGATAAGTCTTATCTATGTAAAGCGCATGCTAGATATCAAAATATACTGTAAACATAAAGTTGTAGGCAACTGAAAAGTTGTCTACAACTTTACAACAACTACATCTCTTGTCATGAAAAATTACAGCTATCATGTAAGGTTACTGATCTATGGCCGGTCAACATCAGGCCGTAGCCGCCAGAGAAGGAAGTTTCTACGGAATCATTCAATCTGTTAAGACAACAGAATGGTAGACGAAGCCATTTATCTCTGAGATAGTTCCTTAGACAATACTGAAGTGAACTGAGGATTTCAACAAATTCCATTCACTCGGGGTCAGGTGTGACGGTCAGACCGAGGCCTAAGTCAGCTCGCTGTCTTCCTCGAGAGCCTGCTGTATCAGGTAGCTTCTGGTGCTCATTTCGAATCCATTAATAGCAGGGCCCGCAGCAAACATCTTGCATGAACCATCTTCTTCTTCTTAGAGGTCCGAGTAGGTAACTAGTCTAAAATGACCCATGTCAACATTTTGTTCCAGGAACATATCACCCAATGCAATTTTTGGCGCTGATTCAAATGCAAAAGTTAAAGCTGTTTCCTAGGATCTTGGTCATCATGACCTTCTAAAGTTTAAAGAATGTCACTGACTGGACAAACGAACGGACGGGTGCGGACGGGCGTTCGATGCCTTCACAGTTAAAATTTATTCAACGCAATCCATCCGCTACCCAAATGGGGCAATACCCATACCCACCAGGAACAATCATTTATACCCATCCGTTACCCATCCGCTTTCATTTTCCAGAGCATTTGCAAAGCGAGTGCGCTTGGAGCTACTTATTGCTAAAATTAGCACAAGTGGCAACATTCTGCAATGTTTCTTGGCGCACCTGTCGGACGTTATTTATGCGATGACGTTAACGTCTTGCCCTGTTAGGGACTGCCGCGCTCGTCGAGCACCCGGGCTAGCTCTGACGGTCGGTCGCCGGGTCTTGGGCCACAGGGAAAATGGTGAATAACCTAGGTAACATGGGTATAAATATAGAACCGTTACACATATTTATAAAAACCAACCGGCCCTGATGTCACCATTCATTCCTCGACAAAAACTGCTTTAACAATACCAAATCGCGAAGAATCAAATAATGTTTCATCTAAATTGGACTTCCAGCCAAACTAAGACATGCTTCGAGAAAAAGAAACGTCTGAGGTGCTGTAAAAAATTGAAAGGTAAAGCGAATATAAGAAAGGTGTAATAGGAATAGCAATAAATAAATAAAGAAATAAAATAATAAATAAATAATAGCTGTGAATAAATATAAAGCACACACCCATAATATGCATGCATATATGTAAATATATATATATATATATATATATATATATATATATATATATATATATGCATGCATATTATGGGTGTGTGCTTTATATTTATTCATAGCTATTATCTATTTATTATTTTATGATTGATATGACCATTTCAGTTCAATATATATATATATATATATATATATATATATATATATATATATATATATATATATATATTGAACTGAAATGGTCATACCACGCGACTAAAACGTATAATTTAGGATAGAACACACACACTAAAGGTGATTAGTTACCCATTACCCATTGCTTAAGTCGGCATTACAACATGCATTTCAAAATATTGCGTGCATGTTGCGGGAGTTTACTGCTAGGAGACTACTCAGCTCAATGTTATGGAATGCCTTGCCTGCCTGGAATGCCTTGAGATATCAAAACTCATCGGAATGCTCGTGTCTCTACTGAGAAACGCTCAGTTCATTTCGGTTTCCCAACGCATCAAATATGAACTGAATTAAAATAGTTGTGTCACTCGGCTGAAAGATATTTCAAAGTGAAGCAGTCCCAGCCTAAGCGTTAGATAGCCTTGGTCCCAACTAAAGTTCGCAATGATGATCCAGTAGACATTTGGGACGTAATAGCAGGAATCGCGTTCGTAGCATGCAATGTTGTGCGGTGACACACGGGTCTTACATGTGGTCTGTTATCCTTTAAGATATTCAATAACCATTTATAGGTGCGAATTGCTACACATTTACCATGTCTCAGCCACTCCCCCCTCCTCCAGCGTCAAGAAAACAACACCAGCAATGTTTGCTTCCACCACTGCAACCCCCGCCATCGCGAAGTGAATAACACTCATAGCCAGCCACTTCGATCCGCACCCAGATCACCACATGTATCGCTAGGCGCCTGCAGGAAGGGCAGACGAAAATGGCCTTTTGAGATACATTTCACCTCTGTTCGCTGGTCTACACCGCGAATTTCGAGGTAAAACGAAGCTAGTAGGACTTCTATGAAAGAGAATGGATCAGCGATAACCTCAGATAAAAGAAGAATCAAATCCCAACACGTCTGTGACTAATTCACTTGTCAGATAAGTCCCGTATTTCTTATATCAGTGGATTTCTCCCAAGGGTTAGGTCAATGATCAGTCCTTAACGTGTCAGTACGCGTACCGATATCTATATTTTCCAGAAATCTGTTCCCATCCCAACCCATCCAATCATCTATTGAATATGAGCACCCTTAGATTTCACAAAACCGTGGCCACAAAACACCAGCCAGTCGTTCTCAGGAGTCAATGACACCAGACAACGGCCGGAGAATTAACTGGCCGGAGAATTAACGCCCTATACGATCTGTTCTGTTCTATATAACACCCCGCAGAATGACGACGCCACCGCGGTGATGCAGTTGGTTCATGCGCGTCAACAGCGGTAGGGGTCCTTAGTTCAAGCTTGACCTTGGCAGGCTGTTCCTGGACCGGTTCCTACTCAGGAGCTGACAGCAACTGGGGAGTGATCGGCCAGCCGCAGGGTTACTGATGTATCAACCAGCGCCCGCGGCGGCTCGTTCACTGGCACAACCTGCCTTTAAATGCACACTTCATTCTTGTGGCATTTCCCAGCAGCACTGCCTTACTACATGTTACCTGAACCGTCCTCTTCGCCGGGCCCGCGGAATCATAATGGCCCCGTGCGAACGCACAAGTGCCGCCCGGGGACCCTGACAGCAGCGTGTGGCCGAAACTGTCTCACAAGGGGGACAAAAAATGAAACCTTTGCCGTGTTCATAGCGTGCATGTGTGCGGCGCATGCATCCAACGAGCCGGTGAGGCACTCAAGGGCCATACTGCAAATTGTAAAGGAAAAACGATCGCCCGACAACCCCAGACCTAGACCCAGAGATGGCAGATTTTAAGAAATATTCGTTGTTTTATCTTTTTTATTATAAACTTGCTACCCCGGGGAGTGTTTTTTCCCAGCACCTCACGCGGGTATGCTCCACATGACATTTCTCCGTGACATCTTTGTGAGATCGTGAGATTTTTGTAGGCTGCATGCGGTGCTCGACATCCAGCATGCCGTTGCTATATTAGATATACAAGTAACCATCTCTCATTCACTGTAGTGATGGCTTTGCCTCTTTTTACCTCATTAACAGCTTCGAGTTATTATTTTTAAAAACGTTACACAACTGACAACGTTCTTCTGCTGAACATTGACAAGTACGCGCACACGTAATGATTTCTTTGGTACAGAGGGCGGAAGGCTTTGAAACAGGGGGGGGGGGGGAGGGAAAAGCTCTCTCAACTTTGCGAAGCACCCCTCAGCTAATGCGCGGAAAGAGCTGATCCCAAGAAGGATTTGGCAAAGTCACACGTGGGAACGTTTCTACGTCCCTACATGACAGAGATATACTACAAAGTTTGTGACAGGCAATCCGTCAATGCCCTTGACAAAGTCGGCCAACTGATGGCTCCCGACCGTGCCATCCAACAACAATAACGACAGGACTGACGTACTGCTTGCTCTAAAGAAGGTGACCCATTTTTACTTCTCTCGTCAAGAGTTCCTGTTGGCCTGACAGCGGTCCCAACAAACCACTAGCCTTCCCCTTCCACACGTCACCATCACAACCCCTCCGGCTGAGATGGCAGCCCACCATCGCCCGGACAGGCGACCCTCCGGTGACCCCGCCGAGGCCGGGGGCGATGGCTGACGACCTCGCGACGTCCGCAGTGACGCGACCATCGGCTGATCCATCATCGGCGGCGGCGGCGCGGCGGCGCTGCCGATATGGACGCCGCTAATGGCGCGGCCAACACCGTCTGTTTTCGCCGCGGCGGCGCGACACGGGCGCGTAGCATAGCTGGCGGGCCGCCCGCCGGCGCGGCGCGGCGACC